CAAGGCCACCGTTTGTCACTCATTGTTTCCTAATCTAGCGCTCCTGCTGCACGTCTCACGCCGTCAATCCACCGACGTCCAGGGTAGCTTAGTGCTTCGACTACGGAAGCATTTGAACAAGAATTTCCGTGATAAATTCCTGAATGGCAAACTAGGCAAAGTGGCGCACGATCACATTCGAACCATCGAAGACGAACTCCCTTCGGGAAAGTCATCGAGAGCCGGCAGGAAGAGAAAGAGACATGATAGTGGCAGTGAGAGTGAAGATGACTACAGGCCGTAGGGGACGAGGGGGCTCGTGTGGTCAGACCATGCAAGTTCCGATGATCTTTGTTACCTGGACGTTCAGTCAGCTTCAACTCGTGTACAACATGTCTGGTCAGCGTTTCTCTTGGCCAGCCGTCTGTCGGGTGGCAGCGTCATGCATGCTAGTGGATTGGGGCGAATCACTAGCGTGGAGAAGCCTCCTCTATATTTTGCCTTTCCTTTGACTCTGCGTCTGTACAATATCCTGGAGTGTCTGTAACTCTATCCTGAATCAATACTTTCCATTAGCAATTGATATTACGAGCCGGCGCTTCCCAAACTCGCTCTAGTTGTCGCGCAGCTTCCGCCGCGTCTTCTGCAGACAGCTACCTCTCCCCATTCACTATTGAGGTGGCACGCAATGAACTCACTATACACACTTGGCGTCAGACAGACGTCCTCCATTCAAGCAGATCTTGAGAAAATACGCAATGGAGATTCATCAGCGGCACTCCTCGGTAAGTGTGCCTGGCTACCCTACGTTGTTGCCCGTCGTTGAACTGATATCGAGGATTCGATGCTTTGTAGGACAAGTGGCTGCATCTCTGTCAGCTTTAAACCGTACTGTGGATAATCTGGATACAATGGCGAAACGGGAGATGATACAGGCGAAGAAGGAGAAGGGCCAGATGTACGTGTCTATCAACCTCTTTGCCTGAAACATATCTAATCCCAATTCCGTCATTCATGATTAGGCGTGTAGAGAAGTTCAGGAGTGATTACTTGGACCTAAAACGACAGCTAGATGCAGCGAAAGCGCAGGCCGAAACCGAGGTTCGTCTTCTGTCCAGATATTGCACATACTATGAAGCCAACAAGTGCCCCTCACATAGCGAACAAATGCACAACGGTCGGAACTCTTTGCAGTATATTCTGGGAATCCAATAACACCCTCAGATGCACGGCGTCGTGTGGCACCGTCTGGACTGAACGGCACGATGGATAGTGTCTCTGAATCACCTTTCCAACAAGCCCCTAACATGCCATCCACTTCTTTACGTGAAGACCATGTTCTCCGGGAACACACTTTCATGCAGAATGCCAACTCCCAATTGGACGATTTCCTCGCTCAGGGCAAGGAAGTATTGGATAATCTAGTTGACCAGCGAAATGTGCTGAAAGGAACTCACAAACGATTGCTGGACACTGCGCATACATTAGGCTTGAGCAGAGATGTCATAGGGTGGATCGAGAAACGAAGGTACGTCCCGAAACCATCGTTTATACGCTTTGCTGAAGTCCCGCCTCAGTAAACAGGACTTGATTATATTCTGCGTAGGCGCAGTGTTCACGTTCTTTTGCTTCTATTGGATTTGGCGATGGTTTGGGTGAAAGTGGACGAATGCAATTGCTTCTCCTTTCGCTTGGTATAATCATGTACGGACTTCTAGATCTGGCTTTCTCATGTATACCTTAGGTTTATTTTTATGCACAATGATACCCTTCTTGCTTATCACTGAGGCCATTCCACGCTCATGCCCCACGAATCATTATTCTCCGAAGCATCAAGTTTGAGCTGCAATGAATGCGGATGCGCACAGGCAGTCTGACCATGTCCGCTTTCGATTGCGTACAACTGCGCTCCGAGGCTTTCTCTTTCGTACACAGTGGGATTGACTTCGCTACAAAGGATCCGGATCCGGATGCGTACCACTCTCATTGGGAAGAGCTTGCAATTTCGAAACAACTAATTTGCTACCAAGCATCACATTCACTACATTAATATTTGATATAATATACAGAAGAAGCAATTGGTCGACATCGATACTGGTTCAAGATTTTATCTCGGATGATTCACAGACAAGCTTGTGTTCTTTCCAATGTTTTTTCTGACTGCGAATAAAGTGGTGAAATTTCTGAACTGGATGCAACTGTACACAGGAACGGCATACCATACGGTGTCACAATAACAAGCAATACTGCACAAGCTACATTTTCGCAACGCGGCACTTGGATTCTTGCACCAGGAACATTGATACAGATGTATCTCCTCTGTTCGTTCTGCATTGGCGAACATCTTAGAGGTCTTTCTTTGCCTGTCCGATTCAACCGAATGAAGCTTCATATTGTTAAGAGTTTGAGATATATCTTCGACCACTGGGTCCTCCACATTAGACTCCCATTCGGCTTCGGCCCATTTTGGTAACCCTGCGCATTGGATAAATTCGGCCCACTCGGTGGTCGCGGGAACGAAATGTTGGAGGAGGATGTCCTTCATCATTCTGGGTCCGTTGGGCCCCCTTTTTTGGCGGACAAAGTCGTCGAGGTCATCAATCAGGCATGCTCTTTCAATGATTGCCTGCGCAAGGGCCTGTAAGCTTAGTGTCGAACTTCGGCAAAGACCTCGACGAATGCACCTTCGACTCCTTCAGATCTGGGGCTAACTGAGGGCCATGAAGCAAGACATGGGCAAGGACAAGAAGATTAACGAGGACAACCATGCCTGAAGAATCAGGAGGAGACTCTGTGACGGCTCTCTGGAGGTAGTCATAGCAGATAGTAAGATAGGCGACTCCATCTTTCCATGCCTGTTCACCAGAACGGGTATTCAACATATTCAGAAGTGCAAGCTCCCAAGATCGCGTCGATGCCAAAGGTTATACCGCATACCCGGGGACAGATCGGGACACTCGAGGCCTGTCTGGGCGAGGCGGATGCATTCAGGAGTATTGTTGGGTATGCACATCGCGTAATACCAGAAACCAATCTTGGGAGATCGTCGGGCGGCACTACGGGCGAGCCTGGCTGCATCGTCCCATCGTTTTGAATACATCAGATACTTGATTTCAACCGCGTCTGCTTGATCAAATTCAGATCTGGATCGTAGGACTCCTGCAACGTGAGCCAGGGCATCGGGCCAAGTCGCGAATGGATATTCATCACACATCGGCTCGAAGTAGGATTTGAAAACCGAGTTTTCAACTTCGAGGATAGTTCCGGATATCGCCATGCCAAATTTGTAGAAGTCGAGATGGTCGGCCTGCTCTCGCGTTAGAGCTTCGAAGTGGATTCGAGATTCAAGGCTGATGGTTCCGAAGCAACGTTGGACGCCGTAGCTTTCCATTAAAGCATCAAGATTTGGTGGAAATCCATGACATAAGGCTAGGAAGAGCTCAGTCACCTCGAAGTGTTTAGGATGCCCGGCCTTCTTGACACAGATCTGCCACAAGGCTCCCATCCCGAGGACTCTGGTATGGAGCGATGATGTTCTCAAGCAAGCGACAAAACACCGAATAAAACGGGGAGTTGAAAGAGCAACGTCTGGCGATAGGTGGCCAAGAGCCATTATGAGAGTTAGTTCCTGGCGGATGGACGCCTGCTTCGAAGCGTTAGGTTTGTCAGACAAGCAAGCTTGTATTCGGTCCAAGATCAAATCTCGAATTTTGTCGAGATCGACATTCAACTTGTTGAAAGTGGCCGCCAGTTGGACTCCTCGAGCTTCGGACATTGCCAACGTCTGTGTGAGCGCATTCCCCATTATCTTGATGATCAATTCTGTGTCCTCTGATTCGAGAGGAGATTCGAAGAGGACGTATGACAGTCTCTGAAAGTCGGTCGTGCACACCGTTTCGGCGATCTCGGGAGACTTGTGCATGAGAATCCGCAACATGGCGCGCAAAGCACTGGTGCGACAATGATCTCGACGCTCTATTACGCCTGCTATTTTGGGTAGCCATCCTGCGAGCAAGCCGTCACAATTGCTCAGCGAAGACACCGAAGAGAATGAGAACCTTCTGCGTATATTTTATCCCTGAGAACAGCATCCGCGAATATGTCGCGAAGAACGAGCATCACACCCGCGATCACAACATCATTTTCCAGATTTTTCGAGTATAGCTTCTGCAGAGTTTTCATGACTTTCGTATATTTTGCATGCACCTTTTTGAACCCAACGCGAGCAAGGGGCCTTTTTTTTTTTTTTTTTGTATATCAGGTCTTTTTTTTTATTAAGGCCCTCGGCGACTACCCACCTCGGCGATTAGCCTATTTAGGAGGCCTTATCTCCGTAGCCGACGGTTATGTCCGGTTATGTCCTTTATCTCCGAGATGCCGGCCGAGATTGAAAATTTGCCGATCCCGGATCCTTGGTTTATCGCCACCCGAT